ATTGATCCGATAACAGGATATAGAATATAAAACAGTCTCCAAATACGCAAACTTGGCACAGATTGCATGCTGAGCATTTTACCTTAGTACAGTGACCGGATCGAAGTCGCAATGTCAGCGTATAATTCTCCATAAATATTGTGGGAGGTCAAGATCATGAACAGACAGTGTTCATTTGAGTATCTATTTTATCATCAGCAATGCAGCACATCTCCTTCTCTTCGATCCTGCTGGATGGCAGTATAATGTAAGTTTTTGGTGTTTTTAAAATAACGGCGTGAAAGCAAGCGAGACATAAGTGGAAACACCTATTGGTGTGACACCCAAGTCAACTTGCCAAGTTTTTATGTCAGTTTTGGTGGTTTGACCGATCATCCGACAACTGCGGTAGCAGAAATTTAGAATGCTAATCTGAAATGCCATCGGAAAACGAATCCACATGTTTCTAGAAATGATATGAAATCGAAAAAGGTTAATGCAGTCAAGCTGCTGGAAAATAATTTCATGAAAATCAAAAGATTGATAGAAAAGTACTATTTTGATCATTCCCATATTGATTTCAATTCAAGAGCCACCGGTAGACAGCTGTTTCAGCCTATCGGGCATCGTCAGTACCGGGCAGGCGGTCTTCTTTTTCTCATTGAGATTCCAACACAATCATTTCTTGAAAGTATGAACTTACATATATCAGTTTTCAGAAAAATAAAATTGAAGGTCATATTATTATCACATATTTTGTTTGAATTAGGTAGGATTCTTTATCTGATAATATGCGATATAACATAAGTGATTTGTTTAGAGTTCGAACGTAATTGAATCTATAATATGAACGTCAAATGCACCATAATTGATTCATTTATCACCTTCAGTTTTGTTTTCGTTCCTCTAGAAGCGGAGAGTATCAAGACAAAAAATAATTTTGGGTTTTGGCATTCTATTTCTATATCTTTATACAAAACAAAGGAAAGTATTTTCCAGAAGGGAAACAAATATTTGCAAAATTATCTCCACATAAAGATGTGAAAATCATAAAAAGAAGTAACTACTTCCATATGAGCATTAAATTACAAGAAAGAAAAAATAATTTCAAAACAACTACTTTTTCATGATCACTGAATTATTCAAAAACACTTTTTCCTATTCACTTTGTACTCCAAAAATTTGTTTTGGAATTCAATCTGAAATCATTCACGGGATTGCTATACAATGTAGTATATGAAAGAGTTAATATTTCACTTACATGGAACACTGCCATCCTCAATGGCGGACCTCTTCATCAATAATCTGCATAAGTTGTCAAAATAAAGCATTCAATCCATTCACGAAATCACGATATTTTTTTTCAGTTTGTATCTGAAATTTATTTCATTTGCTCACTTCCACCCTTGAGAAATTTCTCACATTTTTTCTTATAATGATGAAGAAGTAGAAAACCAAAAACTTTCTTCCAAAAAAAAAAAATAATTCACCAGTGTTCACTCAATTAGTTTCGATTATACCAACAAATTTTTCCCTAATTCTATCAAATATTCCATTATGGTAAATCGGAAAAAAATACTGCCTATCCGTTTCGAACATTTTTTTTGATATAAAAAATATTTTCATCCCATCATCCAAGAGATTTGAATGATATTTTCGAACCTGTATACTGTTTACCAGAAGCTATGCTTTGTCATTCCATTTGGATTACAGGACATCGGTTATGGATGCACATCTTCTTGGGCAGAAAGTAGGAGGTTGCATATCTTAATAAAGATGTAGAAGTAATTTCAAATTGGGGTGAAATTAAAAACGTTCGGTTCAATGCTACAGAAACACAGGCATCGTTTTTCTCCGAAAAAATAAATGTCTCCGAACCGGATATAATCATTTCAGGACAAACAAGTTCGCTTTTTGCTTCGATGTTGTAATAGCTTGTGAAGCCAATTTTCTTCAACGTGTGATTTTATCTTTTTCGAAAAATTACAACGTATTGCTGTGCTTTCCGAAAAATGACATCGTATTGCTGTGACATTCTTCTACCGTTTCTTCATCGTCAGAAATATCTTGCTCAGAGTCACTATTGTCGTGTTGCCCTTCAACATGATCCACCTCCTCGTCATCAGACTGATCTATATCTGTATGTTCGACGTACGTTATTCCTTGTTCCTCTTCGTCGTTGACAAGTTCTAGCATTTCCTGCTGNGAACAGACTCGACTGCAGGAAATGCTAGAACTTGTCAACGACGAAGAGGAACAAGGAATAGCGTACGACGAACATACAGATATAGATCAGTCTGATGACGAGGAGGTGGATCATGTTGGAGAGCAACACGACAATAGTGACTCTGAGCAAGATATTTCTGACGATGAAGAAATAGTAGAAGTACACAGCAATAGGTTGTCATTTTTCGGAAAGGATAAAGTCACACGTTGAAGAAAATTGGCTTCACAACCTATTACAACTGAAACGAGGCACATGAATATCGTCAAACGTTTGCCGGGTTCCTCATCAGCAACGAGAAACCGCTTAGAACCACTGGAAATATGGGAGTATTTCTTCAATGACAAAATAATAAAAATTATAGTGGAATGTACCAACGAATACATCGAGTATGTTTCTGATAATTTTGCTCGAAGAAGAGATGCAACCCCAACGAATCATATTGAAATTCGTGCATTTTTTGGAGTTATCTACATGGCTGGTATTTATCATGCAAACCGTCTGAATGCCAAAGAATCATGGAGGGGTGATGGATCTGGTGTAGAAATTTTTCGCCTCATGATGAGTTTACAAAGATTTAGATTCCTAATTCGTTGTCTAAGATTTGACAGCAGAGAGACTCGAGTGATACAAAAGGAAATAGATAATTTGGCTCCCATATGCAATGTTCATGACCATTTTGTTGCTAATTGTCAGAACGGCTTCCACCAGTCAGAATATGTAACCGTGGACCAGATGCTTGCAAGATTTTGAGGAATGTGTAGTTTTTGCCAATACATCCCTTCGAAGCCGAATAAATACAAGTTGAAATCCTAGCATTGTGTGATGCCAAAATGTTCTACACGAGCAATATAGAAATTTACGTCAGAACACAACTAGAAGGTCCGAACAGAGTTTCGAATAGTCCTTTCGATGTAGTTTCACGACTCTGTCAGCACATTTTTGGTTCTAATCGCAATGTAACGATGGGCAATTGGTTCACCTCTGTACCTCTTGTGAAAAAGCCACTTGACCACAAACTCTCAGTTATTGGAACTATCCGGAAAAACAGGAGAGAATTACCAATGGAGTTTTCTAAACCAGCTGCTCGACCGGAACATAGAAGCATGTTTGGGTTTTCGAAAGAATGCACTCTTGTATCCTGTTACGTATTGTATACACAACTCACTAGTAGCAACCTCATCCGCTGTGGCGTCGTAACGCCACTGTATTTTGGTGCCAATTCGACGAAACGCGAGGATTCCAAGCAAAAGGGGATCAGTACAATTCAAGAATCCGATCGGTAGAAACCAACCAGAAAAAAAACGCGCGTGTGTGTGCCACAGCAATACCAAAAAGGTAAGTGGAATTCTTCCTCTTGAAGCGACTTGTACCTAAACATATACAGTCCATTGCTCTTCTCGAACATATCCTATATTCCCAAAAAAAGGAGGTGTAGATACAGTGGATAAACTAACTGCAAGCTACAACTGTTTCAGAAACTCGCGCAGATGGCCCGTGGTACTTTTCTACAATTTCCTGAATATAGCTGGCATTAATTCACAAGTTATCTATGCTTTAAATAATCCTGATAGAAATTTTTTGAGAATGTATTTTCTGAAACAATTTGCCAATAATTTAGTCAAGCCCCAATCGCAACTGCGTGTTGCTATGAGCAATATTCTTTGAAATCTGAGGTTGAGACTACAGAAACTTTCTGGGTCGAATATCGAACCTGATGTTCCACAGAATGTCTCAGTAGGGCGATGTGCCTACTGTACTTCGAAAAAACATCGCAAAACTCGATTTCAATGTCATAAGTGTAATAAATACATGTGTTTAGAGCATATTATTGGTGTTTGTCAGGGGTGCCGTGAAAATGCTCTTTTAGGAGTTTGATCATATTTGCTTACCATTTTTTTTTTCATTTGAATAGATTTATGTATTACTTCCAGTGTTAGTTTTTTGCATACCAATGAATAAAATGCAGTATTGAACAAAAACACCTTTTTCAAGATCCTGTGATATATTTGGTGAAATTGGCAAATAGTACTTCTTTTTATTCATTGTTAATTTATTATGTTGTTGAAACTTCCCTCCCTATATCTATTTCCCAAAAAAACAATCCGGAATTTGGTTGGGGGGTTAATTACCTTGTGCGGTCTATGAGACCTACGCGACTACTCACGTTCGAAAATTTGGCGCGACTGTCGGAACGGAAATATTATGGAACATTGAAAAAAGGCTATCCCAATGTGAATGAACGATGCGTGAAGACTGACATATTAGGTCGCTTCGTGTGTAGCAACAAAATAACTCGAATAACCAAAATCAGGAAAATTTTTGTTGCTAAGAAATTCCGTACTTTTTTTCATATTTCGCAGCTATACCACCCCAATACTTCATCATTATATTTTCAATTTAAAAAAACTATTGAGTTATTGAAAATGAGTTTTTGATGGTTTCAGGTTTTTGGGTAGCACTTTTGTGAGATATTAATGATATTGGTCTATAGCTGTTAAAATCGCTTGTTTTCCCATTTTAATTTTTTATGGATGGGCGAATTTCCAATCGCAATGAAGCTTCTATTTTCATCTTCAAGCACCCAATGGTGATGGTTCGTTCACAAATGTCTCCTTTGGAGCGCTGATTTCGACTATGAAAGATGAGTTTTGTATATCTTCCATTCAATTCGACTACTTGAAGTATATTGCGTTTACATGAACGTCATCAAATAACTTGATATAAGATTCACATGATAATCAATTTCTAAAATCAAATTATCAGATATATAATCTCCTATTGATTGGTATTAAACATGTAACTCTCATTTTCAGAACATTACTGTTACATTGACAACTATGGTTTCCAAAATAATAATCAGCATTATAGCTATCAATTCCTTCTTTATAGTTTATTGTGAACTGGTGAGTATGAAATGAACATATCTTGATTTTCAGTGTAAATTTTTCATTGCTGATTTTTACAAGTCAATGAATTATCGTTCAAGAATAGATGCAAATTATATATTGAGAGCTATAGAAAAAATCCATATCACAAATATGACATAAATCTAGATGTAGACTACCACAAAAACCTATTATGTCAAGCAGAGTTATTACTACGGCTCATTAATTTATCATTATATAATTCATCATCATTATAGAAAAATATTTTGAAAATTGTTTTTCAACGAAATACGTGAGTAACTGTCATAAATTTTCATGGCCAATGAATTAATGTGTGGAATTTTCAACACAATACTAATTTTCATTCGTTTCTGATGGATTAATGATTCAAAATACTTTCAAAGCTGCGTTTTCTGTCAATGATAGAACTATCTGTATCTGTAGAGTAGGGAGGGTGAGTGTAAGCCCACAGCACTAAGGTCACATGTGACCCATTGTACATCCTTCCGAGGAGTTGTCCTCCTAGGTCATCGTCCATCCTGTCCTTTCTAGGAAGGTAGACAGGTAACTGGAAGATATCTCCTTTATATAGGCAGGTGTAGGCCAAGACTCGCCGAACACACACTCTCTTATTGATGATAACACTGGGCACTCGCATAGGACATGCCTGACAGTCTCATCTTCCTGTTAACAAATCCTGCATAGAGGTGTGTCCTCTAGACCCATATTTTGAAAGTGTTTCCTCAATTGACAGTGGCCAGTCAGAAATCCTACTGTTAAGCGCAGATTTTTTCTGGTAGTCGCCAGATATTTTTTCGGCGCCAGCTTTCCAGGGTCGCCCTAGCTGCCACTGGGTCCTAAAATTTTTAAGTGCAGCCGCTTCCTTGGCTAAAGAGTCGGCAATACTATTACCCTCACTTCTGTCGTGCCCTTCAACCCACCTCAGGATAATGTTATTATCTACCGAGGCTTTGGATGAATTTTAGTAATACTATAGTGTACTAGCCCTGAGGTTACACGTTGTCTGTTCGAAGCTAATAGGACTTATCTGCTGTCAGTGCAGATTGTTATGTTTTTGCCAGAAATTCCTTTCCTGGTTATCTCTTTTGTGGCGATTGAGATAGCAGCCAGTTCTGTTTGGACCACGCTGGTTTTTTTTTCCATTCCCCACTCAATCGTTAGGCTTAGTGACCTGGAATACACTCGACATCATGAGCCTTCTTTGGTTTTTGAGCCGTCTGTTTATATGCGTATTGCATTCGTAGAATCTGACTCTGGGTTCGGTTTTACTTGTATTTTGTAGTATCTATCAAACACAAATCTGGGTTCAGTTTCATCACTGGTTGCCTGCAGCAGAGGTTATGCAGTAAGCGTTTCTCGCCATAGGCCCCTCCTCAGTTGACCCATTCCTACTTTGAGGTTTGCACCAGCCGTGCGCAATCGTACCATGGCCATTAACGCAACCTTCTTAACGTACAGGTCCAGAGGGGTCAGACCCGTAATTAAATCCATTGCCGCGGATGGTGTTGTTCTCATGGCTCATGTGATGTTTAAACAAGCCAGCCGCTGTTTTCGATATGATTCTTGAATGGCCGTTGCTTGTAGAATTTTCGGGCCCCATGCAATGGCTCCGTATTATTGCAGTGTAGATCCAGGTGACCACACGGGGTGAACGACCCCATGCGCGTCCCACTGTCCTCCGACATTTCTCATAAGCCACATATGCTCCTTTTGCTCTACTCTGTAGGATAATGAAACAAGTCCATGCAAAAAAAACTACTGCTAATTGGATATCATAAGCAACCAACAATAAGGCATTATATCGAAGTTATACAGTGTGTCAATTTGAAAACTTCCCACCCTCAATATCTCCCTTCCAGTACATAATATGAAAAAATGGTCAGACAGGTCAACTTTATTTGCAAGGGGGACACTCTGAATGAATATTTTCAACCCTCGGGGTTCAACCCCCTAGGAGGGGTGGATGTTACCCTCAGAATTTCAAATGGAAAGGGGGGTCAAGTGGCACATCATTTTGAAGGGCATTCAATTC